TATTTGTTGGCCAAGCACAGGATCGATCGATTGCAGTTCGGAACTCGGGGGCACCTCGTAAGTGCAAGTGACCCGATCGCGAAGGTGATCTGAAGGTGATCTGTGAGGCAAAATGATATCTCCTCTCGCTTAGCGGAATTAAGATATATTAGAATATATTCATAAAGCTCAAATTTTTTCACTTCTGTTTGAGTGTAGAGTCATATTCTGCCCTCGAACGTAAATTTCAGAAAAGACGTAGCATACTTGTTAGAATGTAAGTCACATGCACACTTTAAAGTAAATAGGATGCATCAAATGGAAATAACACTCAAATTTTCCATGGAGAAAAGGTTACAATTTTTCGGCACAAATGAGTTTAGAAGGAAAAAAATCTATAATTGTCTGGACAACAAAAATGATAATTATTATCACTTGATAACTGCCACTGAAAGAGAAGCCTCGTGGATACATTTGTTTCATTTTAATGATAATCTTAAAATCCAGAGCAGCTTTAAATCAAAGCCAAAATTTTCTGCCATCACTTAAAAGTTCGCGATGGACACTTAATTTTCCGGATGATTTATTAACAAACCTCTTGACTTTCAGCGTTTAAAATCTGGAGAAATGAGATTTGATTACTTCATTAAAAACAACGAACACTAATGTATACTACTTGCCGTAATGTTGTTTTCATGTTAAAACAGACCAATAACGTTGTCGCCGTTAAAAAAAAAAAAGAAGAACGTACATGTTAATAACAAGCGAATATAAGATATAAACAACCCTTCGATCTACAAACTACGCACCCTCCCCTCCCAAAGCAAACAGGGAGAGGACGGGATCCTATTTTCCAATTGGAAGTAAAGGGTTTTTTTCCCCCTTAGATACTTTTACCACTTTCTCGGGAAGATTTTTTCCAAATATGTTAATGACATATATTTATTCAAATTTTAACATATTCACTGAAATTGAGTAGAAAACTGGATGTATTAGAAAAGCTCGGTTGGTTATCTATGACCAAAAGCACCATAAAATGCTTGTCGAAGTATTCACCCTAAACATAAAGGATCAAAGTACAGTCAAATAACATTTGAAGAAAACTGAACGAACATGCGAAATGCCAGACAGTGGCACATTCTATTATGCCGTTTTTGAAAACTTAAATCTGTAGGGGAGGGGATATAGATAATGAGCGAGTGTAATGAGGATGCATTGATGCATTCTGTCATAAAAAATATGCCATTTAATGGAAGAACTAGTCTTGTGAAGAAGCCAAAGACTTTACATCAGCTAAGAAGTGTACCATACCAGATAAGAAAATACTTCCGCTTCGTCCTTCGATATTCAATCGGCTTATCTTATTTCAAGAAAACAAAAAGATAAGAAAATAGGCAAATAATGCAACAAACTTGCCTTGGTTCTTATGACCTTGGTGTCGCCGAAAAAATGATATTCCGAATACGACTGCAATTGCCAGGATAAAAATGGCCAGAAGCACT